GAGCTGCTGTCACGAATGCTAGTTACGCTGATTAATACCACGAGCGCTTACGAGTATGATTACCTGTTCGATAGAAATTAAACTAAATATAACAACCAGGACATGTACCTGAGTGCCTATTGTGAGGATTCATAATAGACAGAGTAATTTGCAGTTAACCTCTCTTCGAATTGGATGTTTCCATTAATTTCGATAGTTATAATTATTAATTATTAAAATGTAATAATTATTATAAATTCAGGTGATTGCATCAAGTACAGTTACAATGTATAATTACCACGTATAATCATTCTTCTTAATTATTAAAATTTGGTATCATTAATCTTAATCTATGAATAAACACGTATTAGATCTTGACAAACCCTAAAGCATGTTTAATTAAATGGTGCGTTACTGGAATATAGCCGGCAGATGCATTCCTCCACTCCACGGACATCTGAAATGAAGTTTGGGATGTAGGTATATTAAGGGTCCTCAGATCCTTTATATAGGTTTTATGGTTGTCCGTCCTTTTGCCCTCGATTCGTCTGTGTTCGCATAACTCTACTCCTCGAACACATTTTATGGCTTTTAATTTTTCTCCGTTCGTCTGTCCGTACGTGTGTGCTATAACTCTTTAAAAGTTACCGATCGTGAAATTTGATGTACGAGTACTTTTGACATTAAGGTAGGGCGCTATTGATTTTTAGAAAGCTAGTTCAACAGGATCAAAAGTTATAGGACCTCGAGTGAATTGGGAATAGGAAAAACTGTAGGCTCAATGTAATAGAAATCAACGTATTTCATTCTCTAGGTCATGCAGCGAGTTTCGCTAATTGTTCCCAATGACTTTTACATGTGTAACAATTCAATACAACTCTTCTCTGTGGTTTAGGTCAAAAGTTTTAAGGCAAAATGTACCTAGAAGTATTCTTTGTACATGAATTTGGACATATTCACATGCACATAGTCGCGTGTGTTTGATTCAAAGGTGTTAAATTTCTTTTCTGATGCCACATGTATTTTGATCAAAACATGTCATAATCGTTATTCTTTCACAGAGATCGTTGAGAAAAAAACTCAATCCCTAAGACATGAATTTGATGCATGTTTGTTGACCATACGTATTTTCATTTTTCTTCAGGACTTTAACGAAAGCTACGAACGTTTCGTCCTTCGTGTAGGGCAATGTTAAGCAATAAAGGTTCTGTATTGACATGTATAAGTATAACATTTTGGTGGTGCCCGAAGACTAACATGAATTTGTAATTAAGAATCTGTTTTTCCATTCGCATTTGAAAACAACTTAACTGTGCATAATCGAATGACCTTGGAAATACCTAGAACCATTGTTTAACAATGCTAGCTAGAACCAACTCAAGAGTGACCGTGTGTGTATGAGTCAAGGTGCCGTAACTAAAGCTTGGTCTTGTTTTATATTACAAGGCCGTACCAGAGAATTTCGCCGGCGAAAAAGTGTAGGGTAAATGGGGGCAAAATTTCCCCTTATTGTGACAAAAAAATCGTATTTAAATATTTTGAAAAATCTTTGAAAATAACTGAGATACCACCGAAAAACTGAAAATAGATACTTTTTTTCGGGGAACCTGAATCTGTTATCAGAATATCCATAACACGATAGATGTAAAAGCTATAGGCTACTACTTTCTTATTTCTTAGAGACACCATATTGGATTTTTGTGAAACAAGATAGAGGAGAGAAAAAGAAATTCACAGAAGTATCTGTGGTTAAAATTTCAACAAAACATATTAATAAATAAGGAAGTTGACATTAAAGCTAGAGCTATACGCTACCGAATGCAAAAAGAACGAAGTTAAGGCCTCGGACAGACGGACAGACAGACGGACAGAGAAAGTGGCTGCAATAGCGCAGCCAACTTCGTTGGAAAATGCGCTAAGAAGCGCAACGTTCCTTTAAGGTATCTCTCCCTATTACCTACCTATTGTATTTAATTTACTGTCAAATATCCTGTAGTGTAGTGTAAAATACTTCAAGGTGAGTGGGACTCTTGAAACGATTCATAACACAAATACATAATAAATACTTCACATTAGCGGAGTTCACCTCAAAAATTTGGTTATGAATTATACATTGGCATGCATCATCTCGTGTGGTGTTTTGCACAATATTAAGGGTAAATGTCACTTTATATTATCGCTTGTGTAGGTAGTTATTTACAATATGGGTGGACCAATAAAAAGATCTACTTAATTAGCGAATTATGCAAGTAAAATTCGGACGTTAAGTTAAGGTTTACGAATATTAGAATGGTCAAATATACAATGGCTGTAATAGTTTACCCAATGGCGATTTTTTCCTTGCCGCTTTTGGTTTTGTCTATTAGTTTTACGCTTTTTTGCGTTTATTTTGCAACCAAATTTCCTCGAGGGCGTGCATTTTCTTCATATCCCAAAACCCACAAAGAATTCTTATTGGAGAATATCATATTCACTTTCGGCCAATTCTTATTACTACTATTACTTATTATTATTTAATGTAAGGCGGTTGTATGATTGCTATGCAGTATTTCTTTTTTTTAAATTAAGAGCATTAAAACGAATATTATGTTGCACATATCGATTATCCGATCATCAATTAGGTTTCTGGTCTCGAGAAAAGTGCTTCATATGTCTAACTCAACCGGCTTTATTGCTCCAATAATAAAAAGTCTAGTAACAGTGCCCGTTCCAATTGGAATACATAGTAGGAATCGGCATATAGGGGAGCTCCTATAACTCCTATTCCTATTCCTATCCTTGATCGTATGCTCTTGTAATATTATGAAACAGTTAAAATAAAAACGTGAAAATTAAAATGTACTATGTCAAATGACAGTTAAAACCATCGCATCGCTAGTGCCATGTATACGTTCAGTGCGGAGTGCAAAGACAAATGAACTCGATGGGAAACTAATGCGCATGCATTTCTGAAAATCTATAAGGGTTACCCAATGAACTTGTTTCAGTTAACGTTTTTATTTATATAGGACCACTTTCGGATTGTTCACAGGGAGTTGACTGCTTATTTTAAAAAGGATGTCTTATTTGTTCTAAATTTGTTGAAAACTGCTAAATTTAGAGTAAATTTGATGTTAAGCCTCCATATGTTTGAGTAGCAGTGGTCGTAAAGAAAATGTGTGTAGATATTGTAGCGTTATTGCATATTTTTCAAGAAAAGGACCACCATACCATCGCTCCGTTGGTCTGACGACTTTAGCTAGGAATATAAAAAGAATAAAAAATGTCCACTTCAAAACAAGGGCTTGAAAGACTGACCAAAGAAATTATCCAATGATTTTTGCATAAGCTTTTCAAAATTTAAAAAAATTGCAATTCTTGTCCAGATAACAAAAAAATCGTTAGATTCAAAAGTTCGGGGGATTGTTATCGAATTTGATTGAAGTATATTTTAGACATCTTTCATAGATTCTTCAGAGCCTTTTTGCAGATTTGTACGCAATTTTCTTTGGTATCTATATTTAAATCGCTCAAAGAATCTTCGAACGCTTTCCAAATCTTCATAAAAAGTATTCCTCGCACAATTTCTATTGAGTCATTACGGGTTATACAAATATTCTTGAAAGATTGCTCAAAGTGTGTCCAGAGATTCTAATAGGCTTCTCCAAGATTCTTCGCAGATTACATGTAAAATTTCGAAAATGTTTGGAAACATATACCCACTCGTAAAACCATAAAAAAGAAAGATTACGGGCTCAGAGGAGACCTCTGGAATATTTTCAAAGTATAAAGTGTGATTCAACAAATAATCTTCGGAAAAGTGTTTGCTGGTGATTTAGATAAGGTGCGACCAAGAGGGTTGCAGGTTCGAAGTCGACCCCTGAAAAATCCTTCCAGAGTTCCTACCACCATAAATTATCTCGAAAAGTTTTGTAGGACTAAGAGTCTTATTGGGATCTATGAAGAACCTCTGAGGAATGTCTGACGAATCCCTCTATAGGCAAGCTGTTATAATTTCTAAGGACTACTTCTGAAATGTATGAATATATAAAATTGTATGAAGTACAAGGTTTCTCAAAACAAAGCTTGGCCACCCAACGAAAACGAAACAGACGGTATAACTCGCAAGGAAATAGTTTGTCGAAAAATCTAATCTCTAAAGAATCTCTACAAATCTTCCAAAAAGTATCAGATGCCTTAAAAATATAACGGGATAGAATATGAGGAACCTTTCATATGTCAGGGCTTAAAAAAGATGTGTACAAATCATAGTCTTCGAAACACCACCGAAGGATCATTGGGAAACCTGTGCCGGGATTTAACCAATGATATTTTAACAAACCGGCCCACAATATACTTACAAAGTTTCCATACTCGAACCCGAGGTCGGAGATACAACCTACTAACACCAAATTTGCCATCAGATCAAGCTGCGTTAGGTGCACCGTAGATTAGTGCCACAAAAACATATGGTTCTTTCTTATGTGATTGGAAAAGTTTCGATTATGGAAGCAGGAAGAGTTAGATTTTCTTTTTTGTGTTTTAATAGTAAACCATTTTCTTAACAATTCTTAATTTAATAATTCAAGTACAAAGATAAATGGGATTTAATGGGTTGCCCTGATCAGTTTTGGATTAAATTGAATACGAGAGCACGCAGTCACTTCCAAATAGACATAAATGAACCTGATTGTTAAGGTAACATGCTTTATACTACATGACATTTCTTTAGAACAGTATGGCACCAAAGAAGCAATGAATATATTATAGGCGAAATTCACCATTTTTGACCTCTTATCAGAGTTATTAATAGGTACTGTCCGGTCTATTGAAATTCATGATGCTTCAAAATTGATACGGTTCTATAGCACAAAATGCGATGTTTCAGTTAAATTGCTTTTAGTTACATTAGCTTCAACCGCTAAGTAATTTTTGTTTAACACGTTTTTGGTGGCAGTCGATAATAATTCAGTATTCCATGAGGTTCGTTAAATATTGAATAGAGATCCAATCTTAGGCATATATTAGCAAAAGAGACTTACCCTTAATCGCGTAGGCGTTAATATTTGTTTGCAAGTGATTGGATGGATAATAGCAAAATAGCGTTCCGTACATATTACCACCAGAATGAATATGCTTGCGGTGTAGCTCAGCGAAGTCATAAATTGATACATTTTGCATAGGAAATCGCCAAGAATCCAGCTGAAAGGAAAAACAAGATTAAGTAAAAAGTGTGCATGTATTTCATATCTTTGGGTAGATATATTTTGTGTTCTAAATGGCCGTTTGCATCGTCAAATTTAAGTAGGATTTAAGAATAAGCATGGACCATAACAATGATTATGTGGTTGTCATCGATTTCATACAGGTATTTAAACAATGCATTGGCTTAAATCCGACGAAGCACACAGCCATAAATCACGTACTCCTACACCACTCATCCGATTTAGGCGATATAGGGCCCACTTGAAAGGGCTTGGTCCAAGAATTCCGTGCATACCGATATATTTTGGTTTTGCGCATGTGCAGTGTCAAAAATTTCAATTAACGCAAGTGCAATGCTAACTTTTTTATTTATGAAGATATTTAAATGAAACGTTATATGTAAGCACTACGAATATAAGTAAAATTATCGACTTTTCCAAAATGTTGTTTTGCGCATGCGCAATGCCAAGTTCTTATTTATGAAAGCATTTAAATGAAATTTTATACATGGGCATTTGGAATAAAGAAAAATCTAACACCAGTTGTAAAATTTGCTTTTGCGCATGCGTAATGCCAACTTCCTAATTTAACCCAGGGAATAGAGTGTTTTAACTTGCAAAATGAGAAGTAATTCCAATTTCTTTTGCTTGTCATAGACAGTCATCTGGTGGTTAAGAATCTAAGTTTTCGACTTCCTGCCCCTTGTGCTTCCCCCGTACCAACCCCCAAAACCCCTCAAATTTGGTTGGTCTCTTAGTTTTTTAATCATATCTTTTTAAGGGTTCACTTTAGAAAAAAATATTGTTATCAGAAATTGTAGACCATAAAGTTCTACAAAACCTTGATATACACTACTTTTTTGTGAAATGTTTATTAAAAAAGATATAGAGCTTCAAAGTTGCTTATATTTTTAAGAATTCTGAAATGTCTATGTAGATGTTTTAACCAAATTTTATACTTTATCTCTATAATTAAGAGTTTTATGAGAAAATATCTTCAACTTATAGTTGTATAAATCCCTCTACCCTGCACCCTTACCAAAGGGGATGCATCATAATTCAACTTTCAGCTTTCAACCCTTGCTAGTAGAGATGTTTGAATCACTGTGAGATTGTAGCGCTTTCTAATATACGTTTGAAATAAAAAAAATTGAAAATAATCATCAAATAATCATCCCTTTTTGTAGGGGAAGGAAAGGGTTAAAATGAAGTAAGTCCACTTTTCTTATTTGATCATTGTATTCGAAAGCGTCATAATCACACAGTGATGAATACCTACTACGACCAATGGGTGGAAGTGCTATCATCGCTTTCGATAGGGATGCAAGGTACGGAGTTTAATAGCACCATGACTTTATAATCGAGGTATTTTCTCATATGAATCTTAATGATTATAGATATAACATACAATTTCGTTAAAATATGTACATACATATAAATTTCGGAATCTTCAAAATAAAGACAATTTTGAAGCTCTCTATCTTTTGAAATAAAAAATTTACGAAAAAGAAGTATATACCAAATTTGTGTACAATTTGATGGTCTACAATTTCTAATAACAATATTTTTTTGTAAAGTGAACCTATAAAAAGATTTCTTTGGTTTTAGGGGTGGTACGGAGGAAGCACAAGGGGTGGGAGGTTAAAAACTTGGATTCTTAACCATCAGATATTCCTCCATGACATGCAAAAAAATTGGAACTACTTCTCGTTTTGCAGGAAATGGCCCATTTTCAGTCTCTTATTTCTCGGACTAATTTACTGAAGCATTTAAATGAAATTTTAATACATAGGCACTTGGAATACAAGCAAATCTAACACCAGTTTTAAAATTTGGTTTTACGCATGCGCAACGGCAACTTTATTTTTTATGAAAGCAGTTAAATGAAATATCGTACGTAGGCACTTTAAATGAAACTAACACTAATACCGGTTTCAAAATTACTGTTTACGCATGCTGTATAATTTATTTATTAAGGTATTCCATGAAATTTCTAATGTAGACAATGCGCAATGCTATTTACGAAAGAATTTAAAACAAGTTTCATATGTAGACACTTCGAATAAAAGTAAAACTAATGCCCATTTCATAATTTGTATGTATTTGTATACGCTCCCCTGTTTTTCATTACACTGTATAGACTTTGACGATAGGCGGCTCATTTGAAAGAGAATGGAGTAAGGATCTCGTGCCTACCGGTATTTTTTCCTGGTCCTAGCATTAATATTATTACAAGGAAAATACGCTCTCGTCATTTATGTTTGCATAATGACTTTTTAAACTTGTTATTTTCGTTTACGCTGTAGGCTGTAGGTATAAAGCCCCGCCTCAGTAGTGGTATACATCGTCTGGCAACGGCAAGCAAAGGCATTACTATGTGACAGGAATAAGGATTTTTAATCTACTACGTAGCGAAACGTATGTTAAACCCTCGAATATATCTATTTCATTGAATGTAAGAGATAAATTTGGTGGCAGCAGAAAAAATTCGAGACGATTTATTAGCTTTCGAATGGATCTAAAGTCCAACTAGATGATCAATAAAACACAAACCGTAAAGAATTTTGAGCCAATTTGTTCAAATTGCATATATATACTACCTTTGCTGAATTTTAACTTGCACATTTCGAAGTGTAGCGGAGATAATAATAAAGCGGATCTAAAAAAACGGCAGAGCACCTTGGTTGGACCCTACGGGGTCATTGGATTTGACCCATTTTCAATAGACTTGTCAAATGTGGCATATAGGTCAACTGTGCAAAAGTTTCAACCGAATAGGTTCAAGCGTTTGCCAGATTTAGAGAGGCGTGATCCCCGGGATCATTGGATTTGACCCATTTTCAATAGGCTCGTTACATGTCGAATGTAGGTCAACTGTGCAAAGTTTGAACCGAATTGGTCCAAGCGTTTGGCAATTATCGTGTACACGGGCGGACAGACCGACACCATCGACTCTCCTATAAAGCTTACATCGCTTTGCTCTGTTGCTTAACAACATTACGTTAGCAGTTAGTTCTATTCGAGTTTCGGTTATATCCACAAGCCTTGAATTTATTATAGAATAATTACATTTCAACTTTTTCTCTACTGTCTTGTTGCTTTGAATTTGCTGGCAGAGTAGCATTTGGCATGTGACCTATTTTTTTCTTATGGTGGTCAGTTTGGTTCCTGACTAAAATGTGAATATTCTAGAAATCTCGATAGACATCGAGGCGCCATGAAAGATTAATCATCGGCGAGAAGCAACTAAGGCGGATGTATCGCATTGTTTCTGAAAAATTTTACATGTTTGTTTTAGAACATTCGGAAGCGTTCGAGAGTACTCGAGCGCATTCCAAAAAGATTGTTGCTTGCTATATAAGCAAATCGAATTGTGATTCGAGTTAGTTCCAACATCGATTCCGATAGTGAAATATTAGTGACAAATAGGTCGTGCTCGTGTTATGTAATAAATTGTGAGTGATACATTCTAATTTAGCGTTATATTAATCTATTTCAAATGTAAATGTATTCTTAATTAATTGTAAATACAGGAACCACGTACTTAGATTTACGTTGCACTATGATTTTCTATGTCGTTTTGACTCGAGAATGATGAGAGATAGCAATGTCAAACCTTCATCAATAAATTTCTATAAATTCAGGGATCAGTGCTATTGAATATGATTAGGATGGCAAGTCGTGTTTCCGAATACGAGCTGATTTAATTAGGTACCTACAAGCGTTGTACAAAAGATCTACGCGGTGATTATTTTGTTTGCACAGCAATCCTTTAGACAACCTAATCCAGCATATTAAACCTGTCAAAAGTAAATTAGTTCTATGGTATACAGAGGTAGTGCGTCTAATATGTTTAAAAATGTAATAAAAGACGCTGTACGATTCCGTAGAGAATTAGTGTTAGACCACTTCCGCTTCACAAGAGCATCATCTAAAGGAACCGCGTGGACGACTGAGTTTACATTGTACTTGACTAGACTTTTACATTTATTTCGTCAAAAACTGGGTGTTTGTTACGTTTTAGTTGACTTTTAATTTCGAACAAATCGGCGGTACACAAAATGGACCCGGGGCGCACGTTTCTGGTTAAGGGCGTACGGTAATCATTAGTGCCAATAGCTAATAACTGAAGCTAATAGCTAAAGTACGTAATAAATAAGGAAGGCCCTTTTGACATCTCCGTGGGTTATGAAGCGAATTGCATGAAATTCAATATGCGTATAGCTTTAGCCATATAAAAGGCAATTCCAAAAGTTGAGGCTAATCGATCAACATTCAAAGTGTCCTTTTGGCATCTCGACCATTTATAAACCGAATTGCAAACTTTCCTATTTATGAAAGCATTTAAATGAAATTTGATACGTAGCCATTTGGAATAAAAGCAAATATAACGTGGTTCTGCGCATGCGCAGTGACAACTTTGTTTATTTATGGAGGAATTTAAATGACATTTGAATTGATACATACCCACTTGGAATAAAAGCAAATTTAACGCCAGTTTCAAAATTTGGTTTTGCGCATGCGCAGTGACAACTTTGTTTATTTATGGAGGGATTTAAATGAAATTTGATGCATAGCCACTTGGAATAAAAGCAAATTTAACACCAGTTTCAAAATTTGGTTTTGTGCATGTGCAGTGTCAACTTTCTTATTTATGGAAGCATTTAAATGAAATTTGATACATAGCCACTTGGGATAAAAACAAATGTAATGCCAGTTTCCAAATTTGGTTTTGTGCATGATGTGCAGTGCCAATTTTCTTATTTATGGAAGCAATTAAATGAAATTTCATACATACACTTTAAATAAAACCAATACTAACACCAAGTTCAAAATTTGGTTTTGCACATGCTATAGCCATATCCAGGAGCTCATTTTCTATATTTGTTTACACGTTTATTTAACTTAGATTCAATGTGCAGAGTTTTGGATTTAACAATTAGACTTAATTTATTTCTGCAGGTTTATACTGTTTTAATACAGGAGGGTGCTCTGTTT